ACGACGAGTTAGTCGAAACGTCAACCAAATAAACGGTTGCATCATAACAAGGTTTCTGAGAGTTCCACATAGTATGAATTCGAGGCCCCCTCTGATGCCATACGTGTCGAAGTTAGTCGAGAAACGTCCTGGATAGGGCACAATATGGGGACAGAGATTGTATCGTGGGAAATCTCCACCCCCGTTAGGCTGACAACGAAATCTAATTGTCGTGCACCATTTCGCATTGGAGCATTAGTGAAAAATCGATAAGCTGAACGAACTGCTGCAATCTATGCCTTATATTGAACCCTATCGCTATTCTGCTGCTGTTAGCTACCATTTTTCGAGCAAAAACATTCAATTGCTGCGATTGTCGAGTGCATCAGGTAAGTTTGCTACGTATTTGTATTCATGTAAAAAGTTTTTTGACTGATATTCTGGTTAACTCGTGATGATTAATTTTTATAAACTTTTACTCGCGAGACATTCAATTGAGTTTAGATGGAATGATCTTGATAGATGCCGATAAACAGAAACAGAATTAAAGATTGCTAAGATGTTTTGAGCCAATTATTGCATGCAATTTATTTATTTATTTATTTATTCGAATACACCTCAAGCGTGAGCTCATTAAGAACACGATTCTCTCTCAATCCTAGAAAACCAATGCATGATAATGTATAATCGAACGTTTATCACTATTACCCTACCTAACTTACATATTCTTCATTCGGGATGTGTCCTTGTTCAATGTCAGGAACGCTCTCTGATTCTAATGTGAGGAAGTAGTGCATTTGGAACCCTTTATTTGCATACACTCCTTGGGAAATGGGAGCATTGTGAGTTTAATTTAAAAATTTTCATATATAACTTTCTTCATTTGATTATATCTAGCAATATGCTCGCAGATATTTTATTGTTCAATGTTACTATCGCGTTCTTCATAAGTTCTGCGCAAGCACGTTAGTTAGGAACTGAATCTAGCATGCGTATGTAAAGAAAATACTGGTGTGGTGAGTTTCTTTTGATTAATTACTCTATTAATTCTTTCTTTTTCAGCTACTGTTGCAAAGATCACGCTGAGACAACACTGCTTAATGTTAAGAAAATAGTGCTTGATTGATTTGACCTTTTTATTTCAATACACATGAAGTTTCTCATAGTTGCATAGAAGCTTCGCTTCTATGCAACTACGAGAACTTTAGTGTGAAGAAGGATGGATATCCTATCTTAAAGCTAGAATGGGGTATGAGTTGAAAAGTTTATAATGTGGTATTTCGGTGCACCTTCTCTACCAAAGCTCAGGTCAAAAAATGTATGATCTTACCGAAGAAACGTTACCGAGCACAGTTATGGGCTGACGTATTTATCTCTGGTGCTCAATGTTGAAAAAAAAAGCAAAATGTCTCGACTAAATTATTACCTCCGATTTTTGTATAGACATACATAGCATAGCTGATACAGATCAAAACCTTAGTTTTGAAGTACACGCTTAACTCCACATTGCTCACTTCACTCCGCAGTACCCACTTTCCTCCATTAAACTACCCACCACCAAGCCACTGCTTTATATACAGTAGCGCTCAAAAGTATTCGGCGAGATGCTTCTTCAGTTTCACTTTTTGATCGTAACTCCTTTCTGGCTCGATGTAATCGTGCGAAATTGCAATGTGTAGCATGGGCGTATTATGAATATTTACCACTATTGACCTGCAATCTGGTCGTGCTCCAGATTTACCAAAGGGCTTGAACTGAAAATGAACTGGGAGTAGGTACACTGGTACTTCTACGATTTCTTTTCTTTCTGCCACGTCCAAAGTATACGAGCGCTAATATCGAACACAGTAGAGAAGAATAACGCACATAGGGTGCAAATAACTGCAGACGTCACTAACTTTGTTTAACCCTTTGACGACAGCGCGCCTTTCTGCGTGTCTGCCGCGCGGGACAGGGGTGCTTTGAAGCTTTCCGTTTCCGCGGCTCAACGTCGAGCCGCGCTGTCCCACGGGTCACTCTTTTTTCTGCGACAAGCTCTTTTCACATTTCCCAGGGTTATTTCGCATCTTTGAGTTTTAAACAGCTGTAAATTAGGTAGGTATCAGCTTTCTACTCTTACTAATCCTGATTTTAAGCATATTATGGCTTTAGGAGTCAAAAATGGAACAGCCCGCTGTAGACGACTTGGAGACTGGTTTTGGAAGATTATTAGTCGAGTCCGATGATGATATAGAGGAGACGTTGAGAAACGATTCCTTCCGCAATAACGTCCTAGTATTACCTACGAATAATATCTGATATGGAAAGTGAGACGTTATCAATATCAGACAGCGAGAGTGAAGACGAATGGATTAGCGATTCAGAAGTTCATGATGGCTCCGTATTCACTCAACAAGTTGGTCCGTATGATTGTGTACACAGTTGCCACGAACCCATCGACTTTTACGAACTATATTTGTACAGGGAAATGCTTTCACTCATTGTCGGAGAAACGAATAGACAGGGTGGAGCAAAAGATTCTAATTTTCAAGATACTTGTCCTGCCGATATCAAAAAGTTCATGGGATTATACATACAAATGGGAGTAGTGCAGACGCCAAAGCTGAGAGATTATTGGAGTACCAAACCTGCGATTGGTGGGCACTCGATTGCTGGAAAAGTGGTGCCAAGGACCCGATTCGAGCAGTTACTGAACTCCCTTCACTTTGCTGACAATAATCAATTCGATGGCAACAGGCTTTACAAGATCAATGATTTCCTGGAACTGTTCAACGGGAACTGTGAGAAAGCCTACAGACCTGAAAAAGAAGTTTGCATCGATGAGTCATTAGTGCCATTTCGAGGCAGAATAGTTTTCAGGCAATACGTTCTTTCCAAGAGGCACAAATATGGAATTAAGCTTTTCAAACTATGCTGCAAAGGTGATTACACGTGGAGGACCAAGATCTACGCAGGAAGGCAGCCTTCAAGGAAGGATCCAGTAGCTGTATCCGTGGTCATGGAGTTAATGGACGGTCTTCTAGATCAAGGTAGACATCTCTGTACCGATAACTGGTATTCGAGCGTGCCCTTGGCTAACTGCTTATTGAAACGCAGCACCCACTTGTTCGGGACTTTGAGGAAAAATCGGAAAGGAATACCAACAAAAGTCAAGGACAGGAAGTTGAAAAGAGGGCAAGTGTACTACCAGCAAAAACAGAACGGAGTACTGATTTGAAGTGGAAGGATAAACGCGATTTGTTCATGATTTCCACGAGACATGATGGAACCATGACTCCTAACGGAAAACCGCAAGTCGTCGAAGATTACAACAAAGTTATGGGATTTGTCGATCAAAGCGACCAAATGTCTCCATATACACCATTTGTGAGGAGAACTACTAAGTGGTATCTCAGGATTTTCTTCCATCTCATGACACAGACAGCGTTGGTAAATTCCTGGAAACTGTACAATGACGTGGTCGAGAAAATAAGGCTTAATGATTCCAAAATGAGTGTTATTGAATCACTTCTGGAAAATGAAAGAGTCTGCGCGCCAACAACTAGTCACAGTCTGGAAGAATTGCTCGGACGGAAAACAGAAGTCCGTAAGAGATGTATAGGTTGTTACAAACAGTTATTTCGAGAATACGGGCGCGTCTACGCTTCCAGCACCACAAGACGGGTCAATACTAGATGCAGTAAATGTAAAAGTCATTTTTGCATTGATTGTTTCCAAAAAACTCGCAAAAAATGCGATTTTCAGCAGAATGATTGAATTTGTCAGAAGTTTGTTGGAACCAACCATGTATTTCTCGACCCACTTCGTGTATATTATCATTTGAAGATTGTGAATCTAATAAAAACAGAAAACTTCAAAAAAAAATGAACAACCAAAAAGATTAACCCTTGAGAAGAGTGCGGCTCAGCGTTGAGCCGCGCTGTCCCACGCGACCAAAAAACCGCGGCATACCGTTGAGCCGCGCTGTCGTCNGGTGACTGCATTCAATTTCGATTTTTTCCAATTCATTTTTCACCGGTAGGTTCACCCGCTCTTATCTATGGAATTTTAAGGTAATCAAGAATAAGTAGAAAATGAAGAATTGGTAAAGTTAACATCCAAAAGAAACTCATCCAAGCCTGTCTTTCATCGAAATATGCGAATCCGACATGCAATATTATTAATGTGTATTGAAATAAAAAGGTAATGTCAAATAAATACAATATTCTTAACATTGAACAATATTATTTCAACGTAATCACTGCAACAATAACTGAAAAAGAATCAATAGAGTAGTTAATCAAAAGAAACTCGCAACACCAGTATTTTCTTGAGATACATGAGCTCAATCACTGCTGAAGACTACATACATAATTGTGCAAAACCGATTGACAACACGACAACATCATTAAAGAGAATCATATCTTTGTGATCACCATTAAAAATGTTCAAAAGAAAAGAGTAACATCAGGAATTTCTCAAAACAGTCTCACCACATTGGCATTTCTATTCACCACATTGGCATTTCTAAGGGAGAGAGAAATAGGGGTGGCATGCTAATATTAAGTTCCAGCAGAACATATTTCTTCAATTAAAGTCAGAGAATGTTCTTGACATTGCACGAGAACACGTTAATGCAAATAAAGAAATACCTGAAACGGAGCACGGACCATACCTGAGGGTTATTCGTGGTGAAAGATGGAGAATGTTACTTAAAAACTAACGTCCAAAAATAGACTCCCTCTACAGCAGTTTCAGAGTGTTTTTGTTAAGTGCTCGTCGTGTTGAGTGGGACTTTATTCGAAGGCATGAGACGAGACAAAAGAAAATGCAACCATACTCATGAGAGTTTATATAGGCAATGTGTTTATGTGATCATGATGTACTATCACTCTTACAGTAAACATAAATATACTGCAGTTCATTTTATGAGGAAGGTATAGTGCATTCGGCCTGCCCCAATACCCCCCCCCCCCTAAGATTGACGCCCGCGGTACGACTTGGCGTACGGGTCAATCTGGAGGAAATCAGGAGGACGTCGAATGCGGGTAGATCGACGATATCCGGAGGTGGGCGACGTCGGCTGTGGTGATCTTGCTGTAACTGTTGTCGTTGGAGCAGCAGCGGTATCCACTGAAGTCGGTGATGTGACGGTAGGTGTATCCAGTGACGGTTCCAATGGCACATCCAAAGCGTTGCTCAGTTCAGGTACTGCTTCCGGCGAAACACGTGGAATTAGTTGATTTATGTGCCGTTTCCATACGGCTCCTTGAACAGACACATCGTAGAGAACACGTCCATGGCGGCGTATAATGCGTCCTGGAATCCATGTGCGTTGATTGGAACGGAAGTCTCGTGCGTAGACTGGATCATTTGGCTCGAATCTTCTAGGTTTAGCACCGTGTCGGCGGTTGAACTGAGCTTTCATTTGGTAGTTTCTCGAAGTTTCTGCAGGTTCACTAGGTTTTGACAGATCTAGTTCGTTACGTAGGCGTCTTCCGAGGAAGTTTTCTGCAGGACAGCGTCCGTTAGGGGATGCGGTGCAGGGTGTGTTTCTGTAGGTGAACAGAAATGTATGGAGGGCATCAGGGGTTGGACCGTGATTCTTCATCTCCAGAAGCGATCGCTTGAAGGTGTCCACGAATCGTTCGGCTTGCCCATTGGATTGGGGATGGAACGGGGGTGAACGAACGTGTTCGATTCCTCTGTGCCGGCAGAAATTCTGGAATTCGGCCGAAGTGAATTGAGTTCCATTATCGGAAACAATGACGTGAGGGAATCCGATTTGGGAGAAGAAGCGGTTAAGCTCTCTCAGGGTTGCGGTAGTTGTCGTGGATGTCACTGGAATGACTTCGGGCCATTTGGAGAAGGCGTCGACGATTACGAGGTAAGAGATTCCTTCATGTGAACCGGCAAAGTCTATGTGGATCCGAGTCCATGGTGNACTTGTCGTAGAGTGTCGTCTTCACCTGTAGCGCGGGCAACATCTTTGGCTGTTACCGGTAAGCGGTTCACGTTTACGTGAAAGATGGCGTTTATGTCGCGAGCGATTTTCGCTATTATGACATCTTCTTCCGGTGGTGATTGAGTGGCGATGAGACGGGAGAGTGCGTCTGCTTGTCCGAAGTTGTTCGTGTTCCGGTATTCTATGTCGAAATTATAAGCAAGTAGTGTGAGTCTCCAGCGCTGTAGACGGCATCGAACATTCCGTAGATCCGTAGTGGCAATTCGTTGGCTCCCCTGAGTGTGTCGGATGTCTTCTGTAGCTGCGGACCTCCAAGTTGCATCCAGGTTGGACTAGAGATGATGGTGAAGTCGGCACCCGTGTCCAACTGGAAACGTGTAGGATGTCCGTCGATGTAAACTTTCAGATACTTTTGTACATCTGCTGTACGACCGATGAGACGTTGGTACCAAGTGCGTGGAGACGATTGTTTGATGCGGCGTTGCGATGTACCCTTTGACCGCTGAGTAGCACTGGTAGCATGACGGTTTTGTGGACAGTGTTTCTTCCGATGATTCTGCTTTGGAAGAATGAACCGAGAAAATCTAGTATGACTCACGGCATCCAAGGCGGAGACGAGCAGTCGCGTTTTCGTTTTCTCTTCCATTCCTTCGCAATCGATGTCGAATATATCCTTGTGTCGACTATACCACAAATTGAAGCAGTCGTCTTGATCTGGGTCATGGAAAACTTGTCGATTCTACTTGCCATTTGGTCGAACTGGGATTCTTGCTGAGTAACCGCTGGCGTTGACATCTTCTGCAGGAGATCGACCAGTAGTTTCTGCTGTGTTGCCATCATTTGTAGCAGGTCGTTGACTGGAGTTCTTCCTTCCGTCGATGTACTGGCGTAGTTCGGAAACTCCTGATCGCCATTTGTTATGGGCTCGTCGTGGTGAGTGAAAGCTTTATTCGAAGGCATGAGACGAGACAAAAGTGAATGCAACCACACTCATGAGAGTTTATATAGGCAACGTGTTTATGTGATCATGATGTACTATCACTCTTACAGTAAACACAAATATACTGCAGTTCATTTTATGAGGAAGGTATAGTGCATTCGGCCTGCCCCAACAGTTCTTGACATCTAAAAGAAACACTCCAACGACTCTACAATAAAGAATGTGTCAATATGGAATACACAAAAAATAAAACCGTAATAAAATTCAAAAACGTATTCACACATGCATGAATATGAACATTATTTACTCACCTTTCCGTCTCAGTGAATGGACGAAGCAGAATGGTGGCAGTGCAGTAGAATAGTAGAAGGGGAGCAAATTCGGCAAACAAAGTGAAATAGCTGTTTGGGTGTGTGTCGATACGTGCGATTATGGATGCGCGCAGCAAATTGCGCGTCGAAATTCGGTGCTATTTGGACGACTGTAGCGTTACTATTGGGGCCCAATTTTGAAGTAAAGTAGGTTAGTAGAATTGGCCGACCCTACTGAAGTACTCTACTTCAAGTTTGTGCCCCACTGATAGGCGCAGGAGTTGTTTGAATCATCGCGAATTTCGCCGCGCGCACCCGGAATCGCCCGAATCGTGCGTCACGGAAGGCGGACGTTTGGCGCGGCCCCTTGCGCCCAACTTGCCACTGGGGCAAACAGGCTCATAATTAACCTATTAACGCCGCCCTTTCGACTCGGTTTGTGAACTGGGCAACTCGTCCAGCTGATTCAACCTCCTGACAATGCTAGTCAGCCTACCCACTGCCCATCCAGGTGATAGACGCCCGATCGATAGCGCCTCTATAATTAGACGCCATATTGACCTACCCGTATCCTGCCTACTTCTACCGCGGATTTGGCTATTTTTTCGCCCTTTTATTTGCTTCTCGACATTTTCGGACCACTTTTCAAGTGAATACTGCTAAGTTACATTGAAGTGGAAGTATCATGGTCGTTTTGGAGCCTGATACTTTTCACTTTAAAGTACTTTGCAGTACATGCGTTAGGTGGTCGATATATTTGTGGCGAAAGTTAACCAACCGCCAGTAATTTTGAACTCCCAACTAGTGAAATTTTCGTGAAGAACAAGGTCCCTTGATAACGACATCTGATAATGATGTTATCATAACTCGAAACATTTGTGAGTACGGCCCAAGGCATTGGTTGCCTAATAGTTGGGTCTTTATAGGGTATTCACTTTCAAGAACGAGAGCGAAAGATCGAGACTTCCAAAAAATGCGTAAGCACCGACTTACGCTGAGTACCATTTGCTCTCCTGAATAGTCCTGTGTCAAACTTCATGTAGAGAAAAAGGTTACTTATTCCAAAGAAGGAGTGAAGAGTTAGCCGATTACTAAAACTTTGTCAAAGAAGGAGGGGGTATTGTAAATATACTTCGAAATGTATCCGGAAGGACTATTTAATAATGTGCATGACCATACAGAAAATGAAGGAAATAAATATTATGATAAACAAATGTTTTCCAAAGAAGAAAAAAACATTTGCCACACAATCAGTCCATCATACATATGTACTGCAAATTACTTTAAAGTGGTAAGTATCAGGCTCCCAAACGACCATGATACTTCCACTCCATTGTAACTTAGCAGTATTCACTTGAAAGGGGGTTCAAAAATCCAGAGAAGCAAAAAAAGGGCGAAAAAATATCCAAATCTGCGGTAGAAATAGGCAGTATACAGGTAGACCAATTCGGCGTCTAATTATAGCCTCGTCATCGATCGGTCCATCAGCTGGATGAGCAGTGGGTAGCTGATTAGCATTGTCAGGAGGTTGAATCAGCTGGACGAGTTGCCCAGCCCACAAACCGAGTCGACTGGGCGGCGCCAAGGAAGCAACTACGAGCCCATGCGCCCCAATGGAAAGGTGGGTGTGGGGGGCAGCGCCAAACGACATACACCCGTACGTCCCCAGCTGTTCGGGTGTGTTGTACGCGACTGCAGAATTGTTGGAGCTCGCCCTAACACTTCTCGCATGCCCTTCTTCTGCCTCAAACCCATCCAACGCTATTTTTTACCCGTTTTTTCTTCTCTTTTATTTCTTTGTATATGTTGTTTTTCGCGTTTTCTCCGTTACCGTTGCACTACTGTGGGCCGTATCTTTCATTATCCGTCAAAACCGGATACCCCAAAATTATCGCGAATTGGGCCTTTAAATGTGGAGAGGGCTACAGATAGCTGACATGGAGCGTAAAGGCATTTTACTGTTTTATTTCAAAAATAAAAAAAAAACAAAGTGAGCCCATGCACCGAAGACCTAAGTTTCTTGGACCCTCCTCGAAGTCCGCCTCACTAGCAACTGCACCATCGCTACATGATGTGTAAGACTACTCGGTCCACTCGTGTGTGAACACGGTGGTATAACACAGGGGGGAAAGGTTTTACTACCTTGCACTCGAAACCGCTAGTCAGCTTGGAAGTTGGATCTGAGATCGACGTAAGTTGAAAACACTTACGACGTTATCTCATCTTGCTGGGTAGCAGTCGTAATCTAATAGTAAGAAATGAACCGAGTCCTAACCTGCTTATCGTATTGCCCTTATGGGTCCCTATCTCTTATTATCTTTCTCTTGTCGGTTTAGTTTTCAATTTGACGATGTTAAATTTTTAGTATAATTGTTTTTCTAACTTTTTCTAACCGTTGACTACAGCGCCGCTCACGATCTCGCGTTCCACCTATCAAAACTCCGCTAATCAGAATATCGACTTTACCTATCGTTGTTTGAGTTCCTTCAAGCGACTCTGCCTTCTTTAGCATTCTATTTCTCTAGCAGCCACTCGCTAATGAAATTTAGGATTGAGTGGTCGTTAAGTCGAAGGAAACACGATTTCTGCCATTATGTACTTGGGCAAAAGGCAGCTGCTCCCAGCTGTTACGCTACCTGCGAGAACTCACATTCGGTCAACCACAATCAATGATGAAGGAAACAAGAAATGCCAGAACAAGTAAAGCTTAATGGGCGATGACGAAATAGTCACACCAAACAGAACATTTCCTATTAGAGATGCTGAAAAGAGCTCTGATTTTCAAAGGAATCACAACTATGTTCCATGTAGGTACCACGGAGGTACAGAAATCGAGTAAGTTAGGAAAGGATGAAATGCGAGATAGGGGGAGGGCGAACGTCCGGTGGGCTGAAACTAGTGCGGAAAGCGCACAATTCGCTTCCAGTTTCTCGGGAATGGGGAAGTCGGCAAATGCTGTCCTTGCTATGCTAATACGGAAGCATATCTTAAGACAATAGACATGCTGAGAGCAGAGGGGAGCGCATTGAGTCAGAAGAGATGTGCTTGAAAAAGGAAAAGTTGGCGTTTTCGTACAGTAACGATCAAATGCCTGGAAGGAGAACGGAATAATGGACAACATTAACGGGGAATAGCGGATGCGGCAAAGAAAGCCGAAATTCGTTACAGATAGACTGCCAACCGAGACCATCAGCTGGTGGCTATGGGCACGATCAGGGCAGGAGCTAAAGTAGAATCCCTATTTCGCTGATCAAGATCTTCAGAATAACTCACCCTAACTTGTGCAGGACAGAAAAGAACTGGCCATCAAGTCCCACCACTAATTTCCGTTTGCACTCTTATCAGCGTTTATGGGATTATATCAGGCAGGGAACCTTACTTAACTACTTGGCAATGTCCTTTTCATGCTTCACAGCTTCCACAGCTTCGCAACATTTTCTCAGCAACCACTCAATTTTCTTGCGAAGATCTTTTTTGAATGAACACTTCCTATGTGCAAATAAAATTCTGTATCAAACTGTAACGACAAGAAACTATTAACAACCAAGGCATCATTAACTGAAGATAACCAACTGTTTTTCATGTAATCGTAAACTCACATACTATCACAAACAAACGAGACGCCGTGATCCGAAAAGGAATATGAAATGAAATGGAAAACGATAGCCGCAACAAGTAATGACAAATTAATAACGAAGCCCGCACCTGGAAATTCTTTAAAGGTTAATACATGAACGGAAGACTGTATTTTCGAAGTATTTAACAATTCATTTACATAACTCACCAGCATCACCAACAGTGCTCATAAATGGTACGCCTTTAATAGCTCCTGTCATTGATTTCAAAAGTCCACTACCTGAAATGACAATACCTGAAAAATTCGTCAGTGCGCTTCTATCAAAATAAGCGTTGCTTGAAGGTTGACCCTACTTGAAGTAAACCCGGCGCCATACAATACTGCCTGTGACTCTTCAAATGTGCTGCGGTGACACCTTCCTTGACTCGTAGGCACTTGCCCATTCAGCAACACCGTATCGCCATCACTCGAAAACATTCCACTCGCGAAAAACTATAAAATTGAAAATTCGTCCTCGCCAAAAGTTTATGCCAAAAGGTCGTCTTGCCTAAGCGTAGAATGATAAACTGACATAAGCATTGTGCACGTATTTTACACAATGAAAGATTTTTTAACAGATGATCGAAAACGGACTACAGGTCATGTCGAACGACATTTCTAAGCAGAATGGTTGCTGCATGATGGTCTACAAGAAATCTGGCACTCTCACTGGAGAAGGGAAACGCGTAATCAGCCTAAATATATCGAACATTTGCTGACCATTCGATGGATGCATGGATCTTTACACTGCATTAATTTCTTCTTCGATTAACTAAGGCAGCAGAAAACAAACACACGTAGATTCAGACAGTCAATGAATAATCAACGACCAAAAAACTGCACTAGAGCACGACTACAGGCTAGAAATCAGTGAGTAGGTTTTGCCATGCTGCACAAACGAATGATTTGCACGTCTTCCACGATTTACCACGGAAGGGTTTCAAGTTCTCACGGAAATTCGAGTAGAGACCTAGGTATATCAATGGGGCTTGGATATATATGTATATGTATATATATGTATATGTATATATATGTATATGTATATATATGTATACGTATATATATGTATATGTATATATGTTTATGTATATATATATGAATATGTATATATATGTATACGTATATATATATGTATATGTATATATATATGTATATGTATAAATATGTATATGTATATATATGTATATGTATATATATGTATATGTATATATACATGTATATGTATATATATATGTATATATATGTATATGTATATGTATATGTATATGTATATGTATATGTATATATATATATATGTATATGTATATATATGTATATGTATATATATGTATATGTATATATATATGTATATGTATATATACATGTATATGTATATATATATATGTATATATATGTATATGTATATGTATATGTATATGTATATGTATATGTA